AATTATTTGAAAAGGAGAGTTTTTTCAGGGAAAATAGCATAAATTTACTACTAGTAAATTTAAGAGAAATGAGATGATTTGTTTGTTCGACATTGGAGTTAAGAAATTACAACTTTTAGCCTGGGTAAACAAATATATCTTTAAATCCAATTTATCGCCAGGAAACCTTCTATCTCTACGAAACTCCTTCATCCTGAAGTTTAAATACATATTTCCATACCCCGTCAAATAAGCAATACGGAAAGGCTTTTCCTGTGCACTCAAGAAGCAACATATTATGAGACAGACAATGGATCCCCTAATAGCGGTATTTTATGACATTTTATGCACAAGTTAATGGACAGTTTGAAGACATTCAATATTGTTGAAGAGAAGGAGGTTTTTATTCATTGCAGAGATGACACCTTTTAAGTTTTGTGAAGCGTTTAATCTGCGTTACACGGAAAATGAAAATATTCAAACAGTAGCTTGTTCCGTAACATTACCGCATAATTAGAGAAAAATTTGCAAGAACATGTCAATTTTCAGTTAGGTATAATATTTTCTTTAATTTTGATATGCATACACTGTTATTTCCCATTTGATATCTTTTAATGTTGCATTTACTCATCGAGTAAAATAAGCAATTACTCACCAATCAATTTGAATAATTTTGATCTTTTCTGTTTAAAAACCTATTTATTGTTAGAAATTAGTGACTTACATGAGAGCAATTTAAGGATAGAGTTTCGTTATATTCCTACGAATTATATGTATGCAATATAAAGAATAAAAGAAACATTAGAATTTGATTTTTTTTATTATTAAGTGTGAAAAGTTTCTCCACAACACCACTAATTTATTTTAATAGTATTTTTTAAAAAATGCTATGACCTTGAATCAAGATATTAAAAAGCTGATTTCGCGAAAAGAAATTTTGTGCCGATGATTTCATGAAAATGAATCAGGCAAGATTAAGATAAATATCAAAACATGATCATTATTGCCATTGAAATTTAACGTTGATGGGCAGTGGACAAATAACTCTCAAAATAAAATTATTTTATGTCTGAAATATGGAAATAACTATTTAATATTTGTCATTTATACCGATGTAAATTGACAAAAAAATTATTTCATAGCATAGAATTTGATGGAAGAGAAAAAATTGAGATAGCTTACCGAGAAGTGTTTAGATATAAACAATAGGAAAGATTCATATTTCGCCTAATAAATACAAAGTTAAAGAATAATAATCAAACTCAGAAGTCTCTGAAAAAAAACCAATACAAACTGAATTAGAGCAACCAAAGACAAATATCAGATAAAAAAAATCATATATCATAGGTGGGAGCAGGTGCCATGGAGGAATAAGCAATCCCTAACGACCGGTCACCCATGAAAAAAGTGACTTAACAATTTATCATAAAAACGTCAGTCACCATTCCACTAAATGATAAATTGTTTTTGTTGACAACAACCTTGAAACGACCAAAGAAATTGTAAAATTTCGTCTTCAGACAAAACTTTTGATATTCTTGTTTCAACAAATTGAAACCATAACAAAAGCAATAAACAAAAGAACGATCCTTGGTTTCGTAGTGTGATAAGTTTTGTAGTTGTCAGTCTGTAGGAATCATATTCCACCTCTGATGTTTTGGAGGTCCGTGTTTGCTCTGCGCCTATTTTGTATTGTTTTATGGACTTTTGATCTTGAATACTGTTCATTATCTTGTTATCATGTTTCATCCATTTGAAAAGGATTGATTGAGAAACGAAAAGGCAAAATCATTCATCAACATTCAATGAACTGAATTCTGCATGTATCACATTATAACTATTTTCTCACAGGAATAGCTAATTTCATTAACCTGCCAACATCGTTTATCGAAATAAAAAAAACGCACAGAATTGTGTATTACAGTGTTGTCTAGTTTTGTAGAGATAATTATTGAAATCAGAGCGAACTTACCAGAAAAGAATTTTGAAAGATTGATTGATTGATTGGTGTTGAACGCCGGGTCGGCAATATTTCAGCCATATTTCGGTGTAAATTGTGAAAGAATTACATAAAAAAAATGTGCGAGTATTTTAGCTACTTTGCAACATTGTTCATTGACATTGAAAACCGCTATATAGATCTTAATGCATTTTACTCGTTTGACAAGTTATATGGAAATTAAACAAAAACTGTAGGAAGAGGAGTATTTTGAAAAAAAAATCACAAAAAGATTTATTGAAATACACCACCCAAATTTTATTGAAAAATTAATGAATTCTACAAAAAATTCACGGCAACGTACACCGTTTACATAAATCAAATACTGAGATACATAATTATATTTCCTGTTGTTGTCTACTTGAGAATCAAGATATATTGAAATCGAACCAAAAGTGTAGTACTTAGCAACATTTTGAATTATAGTTTAAAGACAAACAGACTAACATTTAACAGACAAACAGACAGTTATGTAAGTTCTTCTGGTCTTTCATAAGATTTATATTTTAATTCCTCAATTTTTTTTCTTTAGAGTTACAAGAAACTTTACATATAAAACAAACTCTGCATATTTGAATTCTCCTTTTTTTTTTTTAAATCTAATTTTAATTAGGTTGCCATACCAATGATTTTGCTTTATCAACTTTTATTACTCTGACCTGCGTAATCTTTATCAAACCAAAGGTACAATTTCATTGTAACATCTTCATGGATTCATTCCTAAATAAATACATAAATAAATATATTTTAAAAATACCCTTACATTTATTTTAGAGTCACTATAAAGTACTGTTAGAATTTCATAGCAACATGCTTTTTTCCCCTTCTATACATTGATTTAAAAAAAATATGTTTATGCATAGAACTATTCACATAGTTCACATTTATTTTTCCTTGTTTCTTTTTAATTGTATTTATTGCTAAATTTGTGTTTTTCGACGAGCGCCTAAAATTTTTGCAGGGTAAAAATAGGAGATACTGTGAATACTTAATATCAAAAATATTTAATAAACATCTATTAATAAAGAATTTGTACAGATCTGAACTTTTTTAAAGAGTAAGATTAGTTAATTTGCAAAAGTTAAAATAGGTTAAAGAAATTAGTAATGAGCAGAGACATATAAGAGAGTCTATTATATGTCTCTGTAAGGAGCTGACGCAGGTACCCGCTCTGCTTCATTTAGCTGGCAAGGTTGTTTGCTGTTTGTCCAATTCTTATCTGTGTTCATCAGTCATTTATGGAAATCACTTCACATTTGAACTTTTTGATATGTCTTACTTAAAAACGATTATAGTTATTTATTAATGTTTATATTTATACGGAATTTTCTATCCACTTCAGCACATTTCTCTTTATTGTAAGTCAACCTGACGCATCTCTTTATAATCAATGAGAATAAAAATAAAATTCTGTACTATATTTCTCCTAAAATTATCGTAAGATAATGATACGTGGTGCATAAATTAATTGATTGCAATGAATTGTAAATGATCAAAATCATCTTCATGCGTCACATATACCTATTTCATTGCCAAACTTCATATTCATTGAAAGTATGAAACCTATGTATTATTGTCTAACAAACATGCGTAACATTTTCTGTCAAATTTGCACACCCTTTGCTAACCTCGCCTCTGATGTTTTAGATGTCTCTGATTTGTACTGTTTAATGGACTTTTGAGCTTGAATACAGTTCGTTTTCTCCGTATATTTCATTCTGAAAAAGCTTACGAACTTCTCATTTACAAAAAATAACAAAAATAATAATCTTCCGAATTTTTCATTCAATATTATTCTAATGTTATTGATCTCTGAATTTTAAACAGGAATGAATAAACGCCTGTGGTTATAATATAGAAAATACTATTTATATCTACGAATTGACTACAACCAAAAAAAAGTTAATTAACAAATAATGAATTTACAAATGAAAATTTGAATACAAAAGTAAAATAAATTCCCAAAAGCAAATAACCACAGAATATGTTGAATGAAAGGAAAATATCATTATACCAATAATATGAAATACAAGTAACGAAAACAAGAGTGAAAATAAAAGTAAAAGCCCAAGATTATTGTAACAAGTTTAGATAAGTTGTCCTAATTTCTCTGTTGAATATTTTCTGAATGACTATATAAAAAAAAAATAAAGGAATTTACGACATTCAGATTATAAAAGAAAATTAGTCAGTGATGCAAATTTACGATATTTTGTTTTGTAATTGCTTTTTGAATTGCATATATATATATATATATATGTTGTTATATATATATATATATATATATATATATATATATATATATATATATGTAGTTTATTGGTGAAAAGTGTAAGTGAACTTTCATGTTTATTCTTGAAATTTTATTTTTATTGCATTGTTTTCTACTCATTTTTACCTTTTTATGCATGGATTTTTGTTATGTGTATACACTTATGCTCAATAACAATTCACCCTTCTTACTTCACAATACGTACACTCACTGTGTGTTAAAGGCATTTTCTGTGTGTTACTCTAAATATGTTGTCCAGTGAAGCAAGACTAGTAATATTTTGCACTAATCCCGCAATATAAATCACGACATTTTGCTGCAGTAAAATTATTGTAAGAATTCCATACACCATTTTATTTAAACCTACTATATTGGGTTAACCAAAATATTTCACAGGGCTTGATTTGTAAATTTACTTACTTCTTTTCTTAGTCTATGTAGAAGTAAAAACTAAAAAATGAGATGGTTAAATCAGGTATAAATGAAAGAAAATACCTCCAATTAATCCATATTTTGTCAAGAATAAGACAGGTCTATTCTAAATGTAGTCAGTAAATTTATTAGAAATTAAATTATTGCATGCTGTCAATATAAATAATTATCATTCAACATATTTATTTCAAAGCTTTTGACTCGAAAAAAGAAAACTACCCTGTCTAGTTATTTAAACCATGTGAGATGTCATTCACCAAATGGAAACGTTCCAAAGACCTGGAATGAAGTCACGTGGTTTTGATGAAAGATTGCGTTTATTAAAGGTACCTCCCATTTACTATGTATAACAGCACTCATGCTTTTTTCGACAGTGTATAAAAGCAGATTAAAACTTCTCTCGACAGCATATATTTTTTATTTGTGGAAAATTCTATTCATCCAAATTATATGGTAAGCAAATAGTTAATACTTTTGGTAAACCGTTTGCAAATCAGTATTAATGAATTATTTGAAGGTGAAATATCGTATTTCAAGATTTTATAAAATTTGGAAATAAGACGCGAGGCAGGTGCCCTTATAAAGCTAATGTTTACCCTTTTTATGCATAGAAAGGGTGGACACGAAAAAAAAATATCCGAATGAATAAAAGGTTCTCCTTTATTAGCTAACATCAAAACTTTTTATCAATATTTTCATGCATCGTTAATGCCTACGATTTCCTTTTAAAACAAAACAAAAATGTTTTATCAAAGGGCAGAAATTTGAAATTCAAATTAATTCTGGAACTTCACCATTCTGTTTAATGCTCTTTCAATAGAAAAAAAATAAGATTTCTTTCTGATATGCAGTTTGTTTCATTTAATATATCAATTATGATCCCACATTTTGAAGATAAAAACTTCAGCAGTTGACGTCAAAGATGTAATCAAGTCAATATATTCAGCTAAATAAATCTATTCTCCGACCTTCAGACCAAGCGAGTCAATAAATCTGGCAATATCTCTTGTTGAAGCATCATTGCCTCTCCTATATTGAGATATATCATCTATTGTCCTTTGCAGCTTATCAAACTAGTGAAAACAGCACTTGAAATGAGGGACATTTATATAACGCCAAATGACAACAATGACGTAGAGAAAGAGAGTGAAAGTCAAGACTCCAGAACTTCCTACCAGACAATGCAACTGAGAAGAAGTATGTTTGGAATAAAATCCACTTTGTATAAAACCTCGAAAAGAAATAGCTTAGAAGACTTTGATGACATTCGGAGCATATTATCTCACAGGTAGCTATTCTTTCAGTTTTCTATTTAATATTGTTAGTCAAGTTTTTCATATCAATGGGATCCTACTTTGAACACGATATTAAGTATTTCAACAAGTTTCTAACTTGGTTTTAAATATCCACAGGAGCCTCTAAGTAAATATATAGTTATCTAAAGTATGTGTAATAGTCTGCTAAAGAGCTGTACAAGTAGTGATTAAAGTTTATTTGATACTCATCTACAGCAAAGTTGAAGAGAACTGGGAATCACACGTTAATGAGGACGGGGGAGTCTTCTATGTCGACGTCACAAAAGAAACTGACCATTCACAGCGGAGAAGACGACATGTACCTAATGGAGCACGTGCTAGACATCGGCGCAGACGACTAAATAACCATCATTGTCCGTGTCATTTTCAGCCAGATATTGAAACAAAATCAGAAGTTCCAAATGAAGAAAAGATTAGTAAAAGAAGTGATGTGAATACTCCTTCAAATTTTGACACTCGCACTGTAAATATAAACTACCTTGAAAGTTTGATAGACTACCAATCCCAAATTCAAGCAAGTAGAGAAAATAATAACAATAGAACTATATTGGATGAAACACACAACGCTCCAGAAATAACAACAGATCTTAGACATATTTATGTGGTGCCTAAAGAACATACCCAATGTTCGCAATCGCCTCAAGACATTTTTTCCAGGATATTTCAATTTCATGCCAGTTTTGGAGCTATTTTGTGTCACCATAACCAATGTGCTCAACCAAAAGCAGGGATTTCCCAAGGCATGGAAGAGGAAACTAAATTTCTGGTTCAGTATGTGGAACCAAATAGTCCAGCTGCAATAGCAGGTGTTAAGAAAGGTAAAAAAGATTCTCATATATGACTTATATGCCTTAACTTATGTTTTTGCAAACTCCAAAATGTAATCATGGATTCTTTTAAAATAAATGTAATCTATTTTTAGGTGATCTTCTTCTCTGTTTGGATGATTTAGACGTTTCACATTACATGGCAGAAAGATTACTCAATAGTTCGCCAGAACATTCAGTAAGTAATTGACCGACTTCAAATCTCAATACATCACCAATCTGAAAAAAGAACTAGAAAATATTCTTATATTAGATTTACTTTTTGAAAGGTTAAGTGGACTTTGAAAACTACGGAAGAAATAAACTTGGATTCTACCAATCTGATTTTAAAACCACTGCTGGAAGAAACCTCAACAGAACAACTGAAAACGAGAAAGCAGGTTCGGAAAAGTCTACTTCAACTTCTTTCCCGCGGGGTGAATCCGAAAATTTCGTCGTTTTTAAAAAAGCTAACTCAACAATTTGTTTCTGACGTTGAACTCGAGGAATTAAAAGTGAGGTAGTCAAAATGACTTGAATAGATATCAAAATTATGTGTGTTCATTTATCAAGCATTTGTCATGGTGCTTTTTATTATTTAATTTTTCAAGGAAATATGTAAATGAATAAACTGTATTACAACTAAAAAAAATAATAAACCTTTCTTTTTTCTTTTACCGAATTCAAGAGATTTTCAATTGAAGTCCACATTAAACAATATGTGATTGTTTCACGTATCATTAATTTAGTAAATACATTGTCCTGTGACCCAAATTTTTAAATCCAGATGGTGAAAAAGACGTAAATTCCCAGACGTTCAATTAAAAATTAATAACCCATAAACACTTTGGCAAAAAATACAAAAGAATATGAAATGCATGTTAGATGTCATTGAAGACATTTTTTAAGATTCACAAGAGCCGATCAAGTATTGTCAACAGAAGGGAACTGGGTGCAAATTAAGTGTCTTTGAACATATAGCTTCCAAGTGTACTGAGGCAAAAATTGAACATTGACGAAGGTGAAACTTTATTAGGTGGATCCAAGCGAGCCCTTTCGTCTTTTATTGTATGGTTCGCAGATATGGTGGCGTAGTTCTAACCTTGTAACCAAGCTGTCTTCGGATTATCAGAGTTGTTTGATAGTGTGAATTTATGAAAAGAGAACACAGACAATGAAAGACACTAGGGAAGCCTATACACCTTTACAAGTTTATGTGCCACGCATTATTGCTCTTTATTTAAATTCTTACGAAATGATTTTACCATAAAAAATTAGTCTCCAAAAATACCAGGATAGCAAGAATTCAACTAAGTTGAACTTTTTCAAAAAATACGGTATTGTTACTAAGAGAATGAGAAGTGAAATGATTTTAAATTTACTTTCGCTCTATCAGATTGCTTTGAACCAGAATAAATTAATTATCGAGCACTGATGTACCTTTCTTTATAAATACACCTAGAGTCACGCAAAGAGTGACCCTGAAAGTTGCTTGTGAAATTAATTATGATTTTTTAAATTGATATATAAATGAAATCGAGACACAAAGATTTAAGCTTAGGGCTACCCCTTTAACACGATTTACCGGCACCAGCACCGGAGTTTTCTTTACATTATCAAAGCAAAGAAACTTTTTCCTGACACCAGCAGATGTTGAAAAACACTTCAAAAGAAATCTATTTTATCACATTATAACTTATCGACAATTGTGTCAGAAGTGTCGCCCGTGTCAGTGTGAGCTCCATCAACTATAGGTCTGACAATGGCAGCTTCCAGAGCAATAGATCGTCTGTAGATCAAAACAAACGTCAGAAATGGACAGAACAAAGAATCCGCGGAAACATTGGTAGGTCGAGTCAATATTTACCTTTCAATTAAACATTAGCGTGTAAATCTCCTTTTCTTGTTTAAATGTTATATCAGGAAATTTACCGTTTTACGGACAATGAGGAATATTTCTGAATTAGTTTCATTATTCTATAGCGTTCCCTGATCCATTCTAATATTCTTAAGAAAGAAACTATGTTTGTATTTAACATTTAGTTACTTTGTACATATATCCTCCGATAATATGGGGATAATTCTCCTTGTGGTATTTTTATTGACTACAAGTGTATTTTATAAATGCGTGAACCCTGTTGTTATGAAATCACAATCGTGCCCCCTGCCCTTTGTACAGAAGCCTCTAATCCTCACAAGAATTAATAATCTCCCGACATTTATCATTTAAATCTACTGATTTGAATACTTTAAATTGCAGTTAGATTCTTTTTGCATTGTGAAGAACTTTTGCAAATTTGATTGCGATAGAAATCACTAAAGGCAATTCAAGAGTATCTTTATATTCTCGTCTGAAAGTTGTAAGGTTCTTGAAAGAAAATCAACTGCATTCAACTATTTTTCAATGAAACAATTACATCAGGTGCCATGGACGTATATCCCCTGTCAACCGTTCCAGCCATCCTTAAATCCTGATCGAGAAACCGACTAATCCGGAAGCAAATCAGTCACAGATTTTCTTTAACATATTGTATTAGAACGTTTGTCAAGTTTAACTCAAATACAGGATAAAATATATGGAGATAACGAACAGTTTTCATGCTTAAAAGTCCATTCAAACAACACAAACCAGGACCCCTAAAACAACAGAGATTGATTAGGGTGCCATAAAGGAGTGAGCATCCCTTATCGACCGATCGCACCTGCCGATCGTGTGCTCTTTATCCTGATCGGGAAATGCTAGTAACAGATCCTTAGACAATTCAGTGTATAAATAATGGTCTTACAATTAGTATGAATACGTTAATCAGCATTAGACTTTATGATATATATATGATAGATTGTATTTGCTGACAATGTCATTGTTTCGACCATCAAACTTATGAAATAATGACATTAAACTATACCGTTGATATTCTTCTTTCATCAACTTGTTTGTAAACTTACCTTTTGCGTACCGAATCATAAACCCCATATGCAGATTATAAGGGTGTATTTCTGCATCATAGTAATGGATACAGAAGACTGAAAAGTTAATAGTCACCATAAAGCTTTGTTGTTAGATTATCATTAAACTCCTTCTTTAGTAAAAATTAAATTGTGAAACAGATGTGTCAAAAGGTGTGGTATCTTTTATTTCAGGCTCACTGGGATATACTCCTATTCCTCGTATTGTGTCGACATATGTTTGGAAATAACTATTATAAATAGTAAATTCCAAACATAAAAAGAGTTAAAGGCTACAGAAAATGATTTCTTCTCTTGTAGAAGTTTTTGAATGAAACATATGGAGATAATGAACGGTATTTCAGATCAAAAGTCCATAAAACAATACAAAATAGGAGCAGAGCAAACACAGACCTGCAAAACATCAGAGGTGGGATCAGGTGACGATAGTTGACGATAGAAAAGTTAAAGTCATCATGTTTATCATAGGACTTGGTTGTTGGATTACCATTAACGTCTTTTGCAAGTAAATATCTAAACAGATGTGTCAGACTCTAATAATTTCTGCCTTATATTAATACAAAATTTGGTCTGAATATAGGGGCGCTATTGTTGGAAACAGGGGCCCGTTTTACAAAAAGACTTACGACTTAAGACCAAATTTAATTCTTCGTATAACTTTTTAATAAACATTATATCGAAAACTCTTAAAAGGAATGTGGTATGATATTTTTACACAAACAATTTCAAAGAGAAATATTAATTTTGCAAAATATTACAACAATCTGAAGTTTTTGGTCTTAGTCGTAAGTTCTTTTGTAAAACGGGCCCCAGATTTTTGGAAAATTTGGTCTTCAGAACCACCTGAACATTGCCAATCTCCTGATTGACTCAATCATTTTTTTAATACATACAGGTATCAACTTCAGTGTACAATCAGAATATTTTTAACAAAATACCGGTAATTTTGAAAATGACCAATGACAAGGTAAGTAAATTTATGAGTGAGTTCCATTTTTTTTCCTTTTTTGAAAAGCAGCTGTCATTGATGACATAAAGCCTGGACTTAAATTTAACGTTGGGATTGGTAGCATATAGAGTTGACAAGTTTATAAGTTATTAAGTTTGGTAAAATTAAAAAACCAAACAATGATTAAGTTATCATATTAATTAGTTGTTATATTGACATCAATGTCTGTCTCTAGTATAACATCCAAATATGAAATGGATATGAGTCCAGTGTGTAATTTTTATTGATGTGTCGAATACTGTATATTCAACGAAGGAAAGAAAATAAGGAATTGTTTAATTTCTAAATGACTAATATAAGAAGTATAAGATAGAACATACAACATTTTTAAAATAAAATTTTCTTCATAAATATAAAAAGTAGGTCGAGTAATCAAGAGGTAGGCCGTAGACATCGTTATTCGTACAGACTGCTACAAGACCTGTTGTCCAAAATCTATATAATTATATAAATACTGTCAATGTGGACCTCTAGATCTAGCTACATTTCAGTATCAGACATGGAGTACTTGTGCAATTTTCAACAAAGTTATTTTGTATATGACCGATCACAAAATATAAAAGTGTCGCTATTATTGATATTTGATAGGGAATTGTTGATGTGAAACATTGTTTTTTTTACTATGACGCAAAGAATTTACATTCATAAAAATAAATTCAGCAATTTACAGCGAATCTCTCACTGTTAGGGGAGGTATCAATGAAATTCAGTAGGCAAGAAAAAATGGATAATTTGATTTCAATATTTAACCATTATTCAAATTGACTCGCACAAACCGTCATTGAATCACTTAAAAGCCGATTGGTATTTATTAAAGTTACCCTGGTATAATTGGATTATTCTTTTCTCTAGTTGCAACATTATCTTAATTATTAATACATTAATACACAACAAATCTGCTGTATTAAACACAAAATGTTCTTAGTGGGTTAAATGGATTAAATTATTAAAAGTTTATGGGAAAGTAAGTGTTACGTAAGGTTCTTTTTATTTCATAAATAAAACACAGAGATGTACTTAACGACCTTTATTAATAATACATGTTGGTATTTATCATAAACAAGAAAAGTACGTGGTTTAAATTTGATAACATAGTCTATCAAACAGGGTGCGAAATCCAGCAAATTCGTCAAACGAAAAAGTTCTCAAGAGAAATTTATAGATAGGATATAATGTTACTGTTATCTTAAAAAATATACAATTTGAAAATCTGTTAAATATTTGCTAAAGTCATTGATTTAGTTTATCTGCGAGACGGCATCATTTTTTCGTATTTGCCCGTAATAAGTAGCACTTACGGATGATCACAGCAACGGTGTGTTTGTCTATTAACGGACCCATTACACTCGCGTGTCTCCCACCATTTGTCTTTGTTTTAATGAAGATATCGCTGCATTTAGAATCCTCCTCACACCTGATTTATTGGTCCTAGGATTACAACAACTATATTTCATTACGTTGTAAATAACCTCTGTGATGATAAATGTCTGTTTAGTAGGGAGCCAACGATACAATTACAATCAGGTCAGTAAGTGATTAAAACAGTTAATTCTAAGGTTAAATACTAGGGATGTCAAAATTGTCAATAGTTGATATTAAAATCAATATATTCGAATATTCGATAAACCAAATACATTTTGCATTATTAAACATATATCTT